CCCCAAAACCCCAAAACCCCATGTGTTTTAGATACGTTAAATTTAAGGTTTTTGACAAAATATTTATAAAAATAAAATTGTGAAAGGGTGTCAGATAATCAAGATTATAATTAAACGTTAGAGAACCTGACTGAAACTCGTCAAGGAAGAGTTCAAAATACTAGCGCCATACGTCAATGGTGAATCCAAGTTCCCACAGACAAGAATTATCATGGGTGCATAGAACTGATTCCGTGCTAGAAAATACTAGACGGTTGAGCCCTACCAAAAAACTACGCTTCCACCCAGAGGCACATTGATTGTGAGTTCTTCAACAACATCAACAACAAAACATTCGAAGTGAAGGAGGGTGACCTTGTTGGTACCTTCCTAATCTAGGAGGAAGAAGAAATAAGGAGTACAGGCCTCTAGTTTGCAGCAGCTTTACTTGCTTTTGAGGTATGTTGCTTGTTGATTATAGTGGTAACCACCATCAAGGTGAGAGATGAACACATCAAGCGTGGTATCGGCTCTATCCTTTTTGGTGTTGCTCATGTAATGCATCTCGGAAGCTATCACTGGCCCGTGGTATAAGCTATACTGCTGGCTACACGGTAGGACAACAGTACTAAGGCTTGAATCCACTTGAATCCTCTAGGAAACTCGGGTTTTTTGCTGCTCCTAAGGTGCTTGAGTCATGGATAGAAAATAGATGACTCTGACCTAGCTCTTTGCTCTCTCGAGCAGTTTTATGCTTCTAGAGAATGTAAAAAATTGATGGTAAGTATTTCCCTCTCAATTTTGAATACAGGCTAATCCAAATGTCTTCAAGCTAGAGGGAAGCGAAGAAGTCAAGAGCGAGGACTCTGAAAAAATAGTCATGTTGCCTTCTACTTGGTGGACCATTGTCAAATGGTGGCCCAGTTTATCCCTCTTTGGAGTTTGCCACTTCATTTTCCATAGTGGCAGTGCTGGTCCTAGAGAGAAGGTGACTTTGCAGACCCTACCTCACTTATAGATTTATAGTAGGGACCTGGTGATAGTTTGTACTTTCTCTGCTCTGGTACCGATAAATGTGGTGCCTGTATCAAATGTAAGTACCGCTTCCTTTCCCCCCTATGACTCTCGTAAATGCAAAGAACTTTTGGAATTAAATAGATGCAGTTCATGGGCTTAAAAGAGTGGGAAGATTCGCTCACAAAGCAGCAGAGTAAAGTTCACTGATGTCGAGATAATTGACAAAAGATAAGAAATTACCTAGACATTGGCAATGTTCAAGTTCGTGAGAGCCATGAAGCTAGATTAGGTAGTTCTCAAGCCTGTAGTGGTTAAGAAAGCAAACACTAAATAGAAGGGAAAGAGTGCCAAGAGACAGACTCAGCTTCTAATGGAATGAAGCATCAACAACGACAACAACAATGACATTCGACGTTTGAGTGTTAAAAATTGGAAAAAATTTTAATATCCTGAATTCACTAATCGTTAACCATAATGCTGTTTTCATATTCTTATATCATTCCACCTCTTCGTTGCCATTATCCTCAACTGCATTAAATTTGGGCTATTTATTATAAAGCGTATTACAAAAAGTGGCTTTTCAAGAAATACAGTCCATCACATAGAGCCAAGTGTTTGTTGGCATTTTTAGTTTTTTCAATTTAAGTAGCATCTTTAGTTTAAAATAGAATATATTAGGATATATAATGCAACACTTGCTTAATATTATTAAAAATGGAAAAAGTTTCTGAACCAAAGATATTGTTGAATAAATTAGGTCAATATAAGAAGGCTAATGGAAAGCAAATCTCTTAAATGTGGCTCTTGAATTAAACGTATTTAATGTGCTCCTTGAAAATTAGAAACTATCAAGCACAGAACTGGCTAATAAATGTGGAGTTAAGTTCCATAGGCCAAGTGATTTCTTTAACGCCTTGGTTGCTGCAAGATTTTTAGACAGAGACTAGAATGACCTTTACTCCTTGAGTGAAATTTCCTAAAAAGTGCTCAATCCAAATAATTACGAGCACTATATGGTGCCATATTTTATTTGGACTACTTCAAGAGCATTCACTCTTGGGATTGACAGATTTAAATAGCTGCTTCAATCGGAGGAGATTGAAGAGAAAGTCTAATTGGGATCAGAGTATTACACTGATGTCCCGCCCCCAGATTTCTTCTCAGATGCAATGCATGGTGTATCTATGCTAGCTTCTGTTTCTATTCCCTAACTTGAATTTTGGAAAGATTTTAAGACTTTTGCTGACATTGGTGGATCTAAAGGCACTGTCTCAGTATAAATTTGCAAGGCTCATGAGCATATCTTTGGAACAGTATGCGAATTGCCGTCTGTATAGGAAAAGTGCGAGTAATATATAAAAGCTTAGAATTTAAGCGATAGATTATAATTTCAAGAGCTTGATTTTTTTAGGCAAGAATTTCCTGAGGTTGACGTACTTATTTTCGGTCATATCCTTCATAATTGGCCTATTGAAACAAGCTAAATGATTCTGTAGAAAGCCCGGAAAGCCTTAAATAAAAATGGCGCAATTATAGTTTATCAAGCCTTTTTAGATAATGAGAAGAAAAATAATTTCAAAAGTGCAATGATGGAGCTCAATATGGCCTTGATGGGAAAGGGACAAGAATTTACTGAACAAGAAATTTTAGATTTAATCACAAAAAATGGATTTTCGGATGCCAGAATTCATAACGATAAATCTTTTAAAGCTGCTATTGCTTTCAAAAGAGAAACTGATTGATTTCGTTAATTCAAACATAATATGTTTTTCTATTTAATTCATATATAATTGGTACACGGGGTTTTGGGGTTTTGGGGAGATCGGA